TGGCCACAGCATCATCATGGCTGGGCCACTGCCATAGCCACCACACCACCACAGCCATGGCAGTCACGGTCGGGACACCACACCGCTATGGCCACGGCACCGCCACAGCCACCGCACCACCACAGCACTGTCATGGCCAGGACACTGCCACAGCCACCACACCATCACGGCCATGGCGCTGCCACAGCCACCACACCGCAGCCCTGTGCCCACGGGAGCCACGACTCCCACCCAGCTCCCTTCCCCATGCCTCCAGCCCCGGCAGCCCTGTCCCCAGTACGGGGGGTACAGTGTACCCCCCACCCCAGGGATGCCGGTGTGGCCCGGCACCCCCCCGGTCACCTACCCCTCGTGGATGAACTCCTCCAGGGCGGCACACTCGGACAGCAGCTGGGGCAGCCCCGTCTGCAGCACCACGTAGGACAGGATGGGTAGCAGGTCGTCCGCCCCGCTGCCGCCAACGGGAACCGTCAGCCACGCCAGCAACGCCAACCACTGGCCCCGCCACCCCACCGGTATCGGGAACCAGCAGCCCTGCCACCCCACTGGCAATGGGAACCACCAGCCTCGACACTCCACCAGCAGAGAAAACCATTAGCCCCACCGCCCCCAGCCCCACATCTGCACCCTGGCCGTGGGGCTGGCTGCCCTCCGGGTCCCCCCCTCCCACAGCCCCCATACTCACATGGCGGCAGAGGCGGGGGTCCGGCTGTCCCGGGAGCCGCAGTATTCCTCGGCACACTCGCAGATGCCGCGCAGGGCTCGCACTGTGGCACAGAGTGGGAGCTGAGGGTCACCCCGACACCCTCCCAGCCCACCCGCCCCCTGCACCAGCATGGACCCCCTCGGCCCCGCACCGATGCACTCCAGCTTCCTGCGGGGACAGGTCTCCAGCGGGATGAGGCGCAGGTCCTTGACGGCGGAGCCATACGCTGGGCAGCCGGGGGCCGTCGGGAAGAGCCGGGAGGACAGCCCCATGTCGGTGGGGCCGGCGTGCCGGTGCTGCTCCATGCTCCGGGCCAGGGCCGCCTCGCGGGGCCGGTGCACGCTCCTGCGGGCAGAGAGGCGAGGGGCTGCCAGAGAGGGGGCCGGGGGACAAAGGGGGGGCCCAGCCCAGTCCTGGGGCCACGGTACCTGTAAAGGGCCAGCAGCGGGGCCCAGAGTGGGGGGAAGAAGGCTTCCTCCAGGCAGGCCAGACACTGGTCCTTGCCAGCGGCGGTGTTGAGCCCCTCGAAGGCCAGCAGCGTCAGGGACAGCAGCCTGTCTGGGAAGGGCCGAGTTACGCAGCACGCTCGGCGGGCGCCCTCGAGACCCCCCCCATCCTTCCCACCCTGCACCCCAAGTCCACCCTGGCTAAAACAACGGGGTGTGGGGGGTCCCCTCCTCCCCCAGAGAGCCCCTGCGGGCCCCTCGACCCTGGCGGCGGTCCCTCACCAATGGCATTGTGGATGTCCCGCACGATGCCCTTCAGCTGTTCCGGCAGTGCCGCCTCCTGCCCGGGGCCAGCTAGGGGCTCCCCGGGGGCCCAGCTCTCGGGCGATGCCAGGAACCGCTCCAGGTCCTCGAAGGAGCTCTCCCGGGGGGTCTGGGGGGCTGTCACAGGCCCCGGCCAGCCGCTCTCCACCTTTGGTGTGCCGGGGCTGCCGTCGGCGAGGGGGGTGCTGGACAGGCTGTGCCGCAGCCCGGCCGGGCCGTGCTCGGGCACAGAGAACATGCAGTGGAGGCTGCGGGAGGCTCGGAGCCGGCGGCCCCCCGGCTCAGCGGGCAGCGAGCCCCCGGCATCCAGCGAGAGGAAGGAGAGGCCAGTGGGAGAGGCAGGAGTGGCATCGGCGGTGCCCTGGCTGACGGCCGGGTAGAGGCGGGCGTACACCGCGCACTGCAGCTGCCGCAGGAGCTGGGCGATGGGGTGCTCGGGGAAGCTGGAAGCAGAGGGAGGGGGTGGGCAGGGGGGGCCAGGGGCAGATAGGGGACACCGGCAAGTGGCGACAGCCCCCACGCTTCGAGCAGGGCCCTTGCCCGCCCCGGCACTACCTGAGGAGGCAGGAGAAGAGCCCCGACACCAGGGAGAGGTCCGCCGGGCTCCGCTTCAGCCTGGCCTTCCATTGCCTCGGCCAGTCCTGGGGAGCATCAGCGGCCGGTCAGTGGGGATGGCACAGCACCCTGCCTCCATGGCACGGCACTGGGCCCACCATGGAGCCTGGAGACAGCACAGCACCCTGCCCCAGCAGCACCCAGGGGTGTCAAGGCCTCTTGCCCCATGGCACCCAAGGACAGCACGCATCCTGCACCCACAGCACAGTCCTCTGTCCCCACGGCAGCAGCCTCTGGCGCGTACTCACGTGGTCCTGCTCGTACTCGAGGACGGCGGCATAGAGGGCCCTCTGCTCCTGCTCCTCGGGGGTGAGGGCCACGCTGCTGGAGAATCTCCTGGGGATGCAGCAGTGCTGGGTGAGGGCACTGGCCAGCATGGCCACCGAGGTCCCCACTGTGACATCCCCGCTCACCTGTTGGCAGCCTCCTGCAGCCGCAGCCGCCGCTCCTCCATTTTCCGCTGCAGCTGGGCCACGGCGGAGTTAAGGCTCCAGAGTCCCTGCACCACTGCGGCACCCAGCCAGCACCGCTCGCCCACTGCCCTCAGCACAACCCGCTGCCCTGGCACGGCCACAGCAGCCTGGGGGCCGGGATCAGCCCTTCTCCCACCTCCATCCCCCCAATCAGCCAGGAGCAGGACAGGACTGGGATCCCAAAAGCCTGTGTGGGATCGGTGCAGCCCAGGGACAGGGCACAGGCGCCTGGGCAGCGCGTGGGGCTCTGCTGGAGCCTGGTACGGCCGCGGGGCTGGCCCTCAGAGCTCTCCCCACACCGGGAAGGATACGGTCTCCTCCCGGGCCTTGGCGATCACCAGGTTCTCCATCATCTGCCGCTGCAGGGACAGCGTCTGTGAAGCAGGAGACGTGTTGGGGACACCTGCCCAAAGGCCATGGCCACCAGTGTGGCCAGTATGGAGCAGGGGGTCCCCCAGGGACCCTCTCCCCTCCCAGCCCGCCAGCAGCAGCCCTCCCCCCCCGGCCTCCCACCCGTCGGGGCTCCCCACTTGCCAGGGAGGTCTTCTGCAGGGCCTGGCTGGGGTTCAGCCGTGCCACCCGTGCCTCGTAGGCAGCCTTCAGCTTCTGGTTCTGCAGAGAAGCCTCCTCCAGCGGCGTGAGCTCCCTGCCGGCAACCAGCCCTCAGCACCCCACTGTGGGGCACGGTGACACGACCCAGACCCCCTTCCCTGCCGTGCCCCCCCCGGCTTGGGACCCCGGCAGACGCCAGCCCCCCGTGTCCGAGCCCACGTACTTCCGTGCGCTCTGCGCCTCGGCGATCTGCAGCTTCTGGAAGATCTCCGGCGGCAAGAAGGGAGAGAGCTTCCCCCCCTCATCCGAGAAGACCCTGCGATGCCTGGGGAGGGGAGCAGGGCCCCCGCTCCGCTCCTGCGCAGCTGGTTTTGCCTGGGCTTTCCCTGGGGAGGGAAGGACAGGTCAGCTGGCCCCCCTTCCCCTCACCCCCAAATACCAGCCTGGGACCCAGGTGGGGACCCAGCTCCCCGAAAAGGGACCCCACAACCCCCAGCTCACCCAGCGCCGCCGCGATGGACTTGACCCTCTCTAGGCACTGCTCAGCCAGCTTCAGCATCTTCGGGGTGTCGGGGGTCACCCCCTCACCTCCGTCTGTGGGGACGGGCAGGGTCCCGGGGGGGGGGCACACCGGGCCTGCTGCTCCCACGGGCCTGCAGAAAGCACCGCAGCAGGGGATGGGGGAGCAGGCATGGGGGGG